CTCTGGTTGGCATTAGATCCCACCCGCCTTTTCCCCAGTAACACTAGGAAGGTAAACATCAGCTTTGCCCCTGATTAGGTCTTCTGGTCAAAAGAATGGAATACCTCTGGCCCAGGGTGGAGGCCTGGCACTCTGATCTGCTCCGAAGATTACATTACATACTTCTGTCTCCTCCCTTAATTCAGCTGGGTTTGTCAATCACCTGTACAGGAGAGATCCCCTCAAGAAGGATGATTTTTACCCAGGCCATGCTAAAGGGATTGGAGGAGTAATTATTCCCTTGAGGAGCTAGTGTTCTTATGCTTCTAGAAGGCCCTCCCCATGAAGCCACTTACAGAGTTTTGGCCAAGGCTGCAGCCCACTTTCCTGAGTAACTTTTCCTTATTTCTATGTATCTCTTGTTCTTTCAGGTATTAGCCAAAAGCTCCAGCGTGCTTTCCCGGACACCCTTGGCTCTCTCCCCGTCTCTGAAGCTTGCCCTGCCTCTTCTGCCTTGAAGTTGCTTGTAGCCCTCCAATATGGAACTCGCTTTTGGACCCTAACTTGAAAGGTTTGTTTTTCTCTCTTCTTCTTTTCCATCCCCCAACCCTTCTGCCAGCTGATGCTAAGACTTAAAGCTTGCTCTCCCAGTTTTCACTTATACTAGGACAAAGTTGTCCTTGAGTTGTCTTCTGAGTCTTTCTAAACTCTCGTAGTAATGAGGCTGGAAATCCATCTTAGGATTTCTACTGCTGTGATAAAGCACTGTGTTCAAAAGCAGTCTGTTTGGGGAGGAAGAGGCATTTCGTTTTACAACTCTCAGGCCATGCTCTATCAGTAAGGGAAATCAATACAGGAATGTAAGCAGGGAAGGAACCTCGAGGCAGGCACAGAAGCAGAGGCCTTGGAGGAATGCTGATCACTGACTTGCTCTCTACAGCTTTCTTAGCCGACTTTCTTATATTATCCAGGACCACTTGAGCAAAGGTTGCACTGCTCATAGCACTCCCTCATCACTTTTTAATCAAGAAAATGCCTACAGGCTTGCCCACAGGCCAATCCAATAGGACATCTTTCTCAATTAAATGACTCTAGCTTGTGTCCAGTTGACAAAAAATTAACTAAGGGATAATATAAAAGAGATTTCCAATTTTCTGGTAAGAACAATGAAGGGAAATTCAATTAATGATGGGCAAAAATTGATGAAAAGCTATTAAAAATGAAAAGTGGCAAAGAAGTTCTGTCATAAGGAAATTCCAGGGTTGACTTATTACAACAATTCAGTGATGTCTGTACACAAAGAGAGCCCCTATTATCAACACACACACATACACACATACAGAGACACACACGTCACACACACAGACAACACATACACACACAAGTAGGCATAAACACAAGCACAAACCCACCCACACACATACAGACACACACTGCACACCAACACACATACACACACAGAGACAACTTATACACACACATACAGACACACACTGCACACCAACACACATACACACACAGAGACAACTTATACACACACATACAGACACACACTGCACACCAACACACATACACACACAGAGACAACTTATACACACACATACAGACACACACTGCACACCAACACACATACACACACAGAGACAACTTATACACACACATACAGACACACACTGCACACCAACACACATACACACACAGAGACAACTTATACACACACATACAGACACACACTGCACACCAACACACATACACACACAGAGACAACTTATACACACACATACAGACACACACTGCACACCAACACACATACACACACAGAGACAACTTATACACACACATACAGACACACACTGCACACCAACACACATACACACACAGAGACAACTTATACACACACAGACAGACACACACTGACACACACACAAGCAATACCCCCACACACATACAGACACACACACACAAATAGACACACACACACAGAGACAACTTATACACACACATACAGACACACATTGACACACACACAAGCAGTACCCACACACACATACAGACACAGACACACACACAAATAGACACACACACAAGCACATATCCACACACACATACTCTTCGTATAGACAGACAGATAGACACACACACACACACACAGACAGACAACACATACACACAGAGGCAGGCACACATACACAAATACACAAATAGGCACCCACATTCACACATACAGAGACATACACACTGAACACACACACACACACACACACACACACACACACACACACTGCATGTATAGTTTTCCAACCTTGGGTAAGTAACCTTAATGGACTTATAGTCACGGTAGAAACAAAGATGGCGTTATGGTTTGAATATGAGTTGCCTCTCACAGGCTTACATTTTAAATGCTTGTTTTCTAGCTGGTACACTGTTTATACTTTGTGAAAACTTAGAGAGGAGACAGGTCACAGCGAGGAGTTTCCTGATGGCAATTATCTCTGTTTCCTGGTTGGTTCTGTTCCCTGGTGGGACATCATTTGGATAGTCATCGTCTGGCATGTGTTCCTGTCTCCAAGATGTTCTACCCAAAGCATAGGCCGAAGTAACCATAAACTGAAAGCTCTAAAGCCGTGAGTCAAAATAAATCTTTATCCCTTGTCCTCTCAGATTCTGTGCTCACAGAGACACACAAAAAATGGCTAACATGTATGGCAAGGATTTCTCCCCTTTGCATATGTGCACCATCAAAGGCTAGAGTTTAAGAGGTTCCACAAAGTTCTAGAGGAGAACTTAGGTTGTTTTTTTTTTTTTTGAGTTGCCATCTTTAAGGAATGTGTTTTGATCTCGGATCAGCACCCAGCCTCATGCCTTCCATATGGTGATATCGCCATAAATCTTAACTACTGGTAAATAAAAGAAAGAATCGAAGAACCTGTGCAAGACTGTAGTAAAGAAAGGAAGAGAGAGGGAGATGGATAAATACAGTTAACACATCCTCTCCTGATGAAATGAGATGCTTGAGAGATGTGGGAGAAGGACTTTAGTAACTAATCTGTACTTTGAATACATACAACGTAGAATTACACATGATTCTCTAAAAAGTCAATTAAATACTCACTTTGGCTGGATGTTTTCCACAAGTTCCTCCCAGGTACAAAGAGAGGATGACTGTCTGTGATTCCGAGAAAGGGTCTTTCTGAACTTCGAAGTGAAATAGAAACAGATCTACTGAGCTTCCAGGAACAATAATAGCAGTTCTCCCAGGGAGGCCCCAGAAGGTGCATTTTTGCCTTCCTTTTGTCATGTGAGGTCTCACAAATCACCCTCAGGACAGACCAAGCCAATCCTAGAGGTCAAAGGTTAAAACCTCCACTGCACAGAATGAATGCAGCTGGAACTATAAGAACCAGGGTGTCTGGGCATTGCTTATAAGTAATGCTCGCCTTTCCAGCGGGCTCTGATCTCCCAAAGCTTCTTCTCTCCTGTCTGTGGGAGCACTGCCAAGGTACAGGTCTTTAAACTGGGCCAGAGACACCGAAGCTGCTGGCGGCAGCCTCTTATCTCTGATTCTTCCAAGAATTTGGGACACTCCATTGAGTATTTCTTTCTCCTCACAAAGAGGAAACTAAAAGTAATTGCCCATTTTGTGGTTGAGACAGGCTTTCTAGATTTTTAAAATGTATTTCTTTTGTGGGCAATGGTGTTTTGCCTGAATTTATGTCTGTATCAGGGTGTTCGATCCCCTGAAACTAGAGTTACAGACAGTGGTAAGATGCCATGTGGGGGATGAGAATTGAACCCAGGTCCTCTGGAAGAGTAGCCAGGGCTCTTAACCTCTATGCCATTTTTCCAGCCCCCTAGCTTTCTAGATTTTAATGTAGGTGGCTCCTTCAATTTTTCTGCCATCTAACTAATAAAATAATTGAAGAGTGAGTCCAATACAAATTATTATCTAACACTGAATATCCTGCATAAGGCGGGGCCTTAAAACATGACTGCCCCTTCTTCACCGAATCCCGTTGATTTGTTGAGGCACTGCTGCCATCTCTCTCACATGCCTTTTCTTCAGATCACTCCCTCAGCATGGCCATGGCCACAGTAGTGGCCTCTGAAGGGCCAGTTCAGCTCTGTTGGATCAGTCAATGTCTCTACATACAAGACAAACAGAACCCTGGCAGCCAGAGTTGTGCTGAGGTGCCAGGTCTAGGGAGTAGTCTTGTCTCCAGTGGTCCACGGAGTTGCCATGTTCTCCCCCATGTTGAGTTAAACTGGAAACATCGAAGGCTCTCAAGTTCTCCCAAGAGTAAGGCAAGTCTCTGCAGACTTGTTATTGTTTTAGGAGAGACAAGGATTTGAAAGAATGCAGTTCAGAGAATAGCCCTGCAAAACAGTGACCTCCATTTTTCTAGAAAATTCTAGCAGTCTCAGTCCTTATATCAAAACATGCATCCAAACTGGCATGGTAGTGTCTACCTGTAGTGGAAGAACTCAGATGGCTGTAGCAGGATGGCAAGTTCAAGACCAACCACAAACTTGTGCTACCTGGTGAGATCCCAATTCAAAAACAGAAAAGGAAAAATGCATATCCACACAAGCCCTTTCCTGCCCTGGTGGAAGTTTACCAGACAGGAAGTCTCCATATTACTACTTCTCAAAGACATACCCATTGGTAGTGGGGAGAGCCATATTAAATTTATAGCATGAAACACGAGAGAGCTACAAAGTAGTCCTTTTCCATGGGGTGAAGTTAGACACTTTTCATTTTGTAATGGATACCTCGACCTAGACCTGTGTGCTATGTAAAGCTTAGTAGTGCAGGGTCTATGTGGAGATAGGACCCATGCCTCTTTCTGACAGCTAGTGTTGTACTTGGAAAGCTTGTAAGTTCACAATGTGACGCTGCAGCTCTTTCTGGGTCCCATGAATCTTCAAATGGCATCCACACCTTCCTTGTGACTACTCTGATGATGTCATATTGGTTTTGCTAGTTAAAGAAGGAAAGATCAGCATGAATCCCTTTAAAATATGTATTTTGTATTATAACAGAATTTCATATCTGGGAAGCTGAAAGAGTCCATTGCTCTCAAAGAAAGTCAGACATGACAAACCATTTCTGCTGGCGATCGTCTGAAAGAGTAAGGATTCAAAGAGCACACTTGTTAAACTAAATCCAATCTCATAGCTGGCTTAGGTTAAGATGACAGGATGAATAATTTTTACAAAATGTTTAGAAGTGCTTGTGGGCCAAGAGAACAGGGGAGAAGACTGAGTGAAGTCACTTTCCACCAAGCCTGATGACCTGAGTTGAATCCCCAGGGCCCACATGGTATGGTAGAAGGAAAGAACAAATACTGGAAAGTTATCCCCTGACCTCCACACCCACACACAAAATAAGTAAGTGTAGCAAAAATGTTTGAAATAACAGGTCTAGGGAGAGATCTCAGTTGGTAAAGTGGCTGCTATTCAATTCTGAAAATCCAAGTTGAGTTTTGATCGCCAGGACACATGTAGAAGCCAGGCATGGAGATCAGAACTCAGGTTTTCAGAATTGGTGAGTGCTGCATTCAGTACACACACACACACACACACACACACACACACACACACAGGAGAGAGAGAGAGAGAAAGAGAGAGAGAGGCAGAGAGACAGACAGAGACAGAGAGAGGCAGAGAGACGACACAGAGAGAGAGAGAGAGAGAGAGGGGGAGAGAGAGAGAGAGAGAGAGAGAGAGAGAGAGAGAGAGAGAGAGAGAGAGAGAGAGAGAGAGAGAGAGAGAGAGAGAGAGAGAGATCCTTGGAGTTCCTTGGCTTGCAACTGAGTGACTCTGGTCTCTGCCTCCCCTCTCACATTCTTCCCCTCCTTGTCTCTGTGTCTGGAATCTCCCATCGATATTGTCATATAAGGACATCTACCTGAAGCTCCCTGTCCTAAACCCAGGGTACTCTCATCTGTAGGTCCTTACTTACACCTGCAAGAATCTGTTAGCTAGATGAGGTCACAGTGAAAAGAGTGAGAGCCAGGACTTGGACATACCCTTTTGGAGACTGCAATTCAACCAGACTATTAGTACAGCACTAGAGCTGATAGACACAGCCTTTTCTCTATACCCACACTGCAAGAGACATCAACAAATCAGTTCCACTGTGTAGAAGGACCTTATCGTCTTGGAACTTGGCTCTCTTCCCACCCTGCCCCCCACGGCCCTGTGATTATTGACTATAAAATTAGCTGCATAGACTGGACAAACCCAGAGGCAAGGCAACCCTAACACATGTGTTGAATGTTGAGTTGTAACCTGCAACTGTGAGATGAGGAGAGAGCCCCATTGGGGCTTTCTGTGAGTAAAACACAATGCTCACTAGCAGAACAGTGCGGGTCTCTCTGGAAACCAACTCACGCCATTTATTGTCCATGTGGCCTTGGGAAAATCTGATGGTGTGATCTGGTTTCTCTCTCTGCAAAGGAAGCATAACAATGCCTTCGATACCTTACCAGGGCACTGTGTGAATTTGCTGACACCCGTAAAGCTCTCTGAAAGTGAAGAGGCTTACATAAGTGCCTGGTATTATTCACACAGCGAATGTTTCCTCCTGAGAATAGAGCCATAAACAGTACCATTGTGCAGCTAGTGGAACGTGTTCAAAAGTTTCCGTTCACAACTAGTAGATCAAGTTGTGGGTGGCTGTATGGACTGTCTGTGCCCATGCCAACCTGCATCCCAAACGGCAGCACAACAGGCTATCTTGTAATGAAAAGCCCTACTGTAAGAGACGGCCAAACCACGGTATCAGTCACCAGGGTAGTCCTGTGTGGCAGGCAACTTCACATATACTCTTTCCTACAGTAGAAAAGCATCCATGACAGAAACCGCGGTCACATGGGAATTGAACATGGCAGCAGTTGAGACACAACTCTCTTCTTCCAGCACATTGAATTCCCAAGGTTGAATGATTGAGGCAGATTATAATTCGCCCTCCCTTCTTTCTTCCCTCCTTTCTTCACTCTCTCCCTCCCTACCTCCCTCCACACCCCTTCCTCCCTTCCTCCCAGGAAAAGCCAGAGTTGTATACCAGATAGTGTATTAGGGTTCAGGTTAAGGGTGCACTCTCTCTGGGTACAATTCACTTGGATGTGTGGGAACTGTCTGGACAGAACACCACTGGCCCACACAGCCGACAGAAAAGATTGCCTTTCCCCCATTGCTGGCCCTGGAGACTCTCCAAGATGTGGGAGGGGGACGATGCATTCTTCCAGGAAGATCTAGGACTCCACTTTGAGCACCTTGTCTGAAAAGGCAGCAGATATTTTCAATCAAATAATGGAGGATTAGCTACTATATTAGTCACCTTTCTCATTTTTATGCCAAAAGTACCTGGTGAAAGCAACTTGAGGAGGAAAGGGTTTATTGACCCACAGGGAACAGTCTATCGTGGTGACAGTTCACCATGACAGAAAAGTAATGGTGGCAGGAATACAAAAGTCAGCTGGTCACATTGCATCTTCAGTCAGGAAGCAGAGAGAAATGAATGAATGCTAGTGTTTGGCTCCCTTTCTCCCCTTCATTCAGCTGGAATGGTGCCACCCATACTTAGGGTGGGTCTCCCATCTCAGTTAATACAGTCTGGAAAAGTCCCTCACAGACACGCCCAGAGGGTCGTCTCCTAGCGATTGGCAATGCAGATTAACCATCGTTGTTATTAAAGAGAGTGTCTTTGTTTGCTTTGAAGCAAGGTCTCACTTTGTCACTCATTTCAGCTTTAAGCTTATGATCCTCCTGCCTCAGCCTCCTAAGTAGCTGAGATTGCTGCTTTGCACCGCCACAGCTGGTTCTAGAAACCATAGAATAACTGAACTGCAAGTGACTCATCTATTTAACAATTTGATAATTTTTTTTAATTGCGTGGCATTTTCTTTTTGGTTCTTCTTTCTAGGCACAACAATGGGCTCAAATCTTAAAAACAGTTAAAGATCTTGGGACAAGAACACCAGAAGAGATGATCATCCCTGGTAGTTTCTGTCTGAAGTTGGGCAAAAATCTTCTGATTTTCCTTCAAAGAATTTGGGAGTATTTTGTAACACTCAGGGTACTTAGTTTCCCTGATGCCTTACTTCCCTATCCATGTTAAACTTTTCTTTCAGGAAATCATTCATTCATTCATTCATTCATTCAGTGTGTCAAGTGCTAGAGCTGCTGGAAGATGGATGACTTGATCCCTACCTTCGTGCATCCCTGAACTAACGAAGGCAAGTTGATAAGTGTCATAACATAATCAAGGTCTGAGCTGGAATAACTGAAGGGCATTTCATCGTGCCTGCTGGCCTTAGGCTCAGCATCCAAGGTCCCCTTGGTTTTTCTTCCTGGAATGTTTTCTGTTCCAGTGGCCATAAGAGCTATGTTGGGAGAGAGAGCCATGGAGGTCCCTCCAAGCTCATCCAGGCTGCAGCCAGCTCCAGGAACAGGTAGGGCAGAGAAGAGTGTGTCTCAGTGTGACATCAGGGCAGAGCCTGGGGTCACTATGGGAACATGTCTACATGGCTGGATTCGTCTGCAGGTAATGAAAGAGTTGCTGAAGTTTCTCCATCATCAGTCAGTTGTCTTAAGACCCACAGAGTAGTGCTGGCCTGTGCTGGTGAAGTGCAGAGAAGCCACCTGCCGAACAAGACTGAGTGTGACTGTGAGCCTGAACAACATGATGACTTGAACACTGTTGACACCGGCCTTCCTGTAAGCTTCGATGAAGTAGACACTACTGCCTCTGCTGCATTCCAGGAGCCTTAGGATGCAGCTACCGGCCCTTTCCACATTACTCCAGAAGCCAGGGTGGGATACCTGGGAGGCGATGGAACCAGCTACACAGGAGTAACTAGAGGAGTGTGCATCCCCTTTCTGAGGTTTCACGGCCGACTTTGTTCATCGCCAACTCCGTGTGCGTCACCCTCCTCCCCGTTTCGCGCAGGGCAGCAGCATACCTATTTTCTTCTTTAGCCTCTCTTCCTAGCCGTGGCTGATAACAAAGCCAGAGCCAGGCAGGTGTGGACTCAAGTTGTCTTGGGATTATGAAGAAAGACGGATGGATGGATGTACAGATAGATAGATTAGATTGGTTAAATGATAAAATACTAAATGTCTGTACCCTTCCCCTCCCTTTCCATGTATTAAAGCCAAGAGCCTAATGTGTTGGTATTTGGAGGAGGGGTCTTTTGGAGGTGACTAGATTTAGATGTAGGTCAGTCCACGATGGGATGGGCATTGTCATGGAAGATGTGGCTTGCTCCTCTGCAGCAGAAGAGAGGTGGAGTGGAGGGAGGGAGGGGAGGGGAGGGAGGAGCGAGGGGGGAGACTGAGAATTTAGTCTGCTTGTGATGTGACCAGATACAGTCTGGGAAAGGAGATGTGTCTGTGGCATCCTGACTAGGTGGCCTAATCAGGAACTTAGCAGAAACATTGCCAGCTCATACTGAAGGGTGACAACGAGACAATGTGCATGAGTAGAGGCTGTCACACTTCTCAGATACTACAGGGTCACTGTTTGAGAATGATGTGCAAAGCTTCAGCCCTGCCTTGGGGACTTTGATTTCAGTAAGTCAGAAAGTAGCTGCCCAGAGCCTGTGCTTAGGACCCCACCTAACAAAGCAGCCTAAGGGGGTGGGGTGTACTCCTGAGTGTGGAAGGCATCAGACCAGCAAGGACACTTGGTTCTAAGTCAGAGTTAATCCTGGAAACTTGAACCTTAGTTCTAATGGCATTTCCCTTGCTGGGATGTGGAATTACTTGGGACTTATCACAGATTTCTTCCTTCCAGATTCTCCACTTTAAAATGAGATCCCATATCTTGTGCCTTCCTGATAATTGTTTTGAAAGCATATAACATCTGGTTCCATTCCCTCACAGCTGGAGATTCCTGCTCTGGGTTAATGACACCTTGAATCTCATTCACATCTAATTAAGATAATATTTACGTGCAGTTGGTTATAGAGTGAGTGCTCAAATGAGTTAAGACTTTTGAATCAGTGGGATGAGTGGGCATGTTTCCATGCAGGAAGAATATGAATGGGATAGGTGGGTGCCTGAGGTGGAATGCTATGAACTGAGAATTTGTGTCTCCCCACGGTCCATATGAGTGACGCAGTCTATTTTGAAGTGTCCTGTAAAATGTCATTTAGCATAGATGAAATCACAGGGGTGGGGCTTTCATGACACAATTAGCGTCCTTATAAAAAGAGAAAGCAGAGTGTTTGCTCTCTCTCTCTCTCTCTCTCTCTCTCTCTCTCTCTCTCTCTAATTCTATGACATGAGGACACAGTAAGAAGGTAGCCATCTGCAATCCAGGAGGAGTCCCTCACCAGGAACTGAATCCATCAGTGCCTGCATCTTGGGTTTCCTGACCTCTAGAACTATGAGAAATAAATGCCTGTTGTCTGCCTGTCGGTAGTATTCTGGGATGGCAGCACAAGCAAAGTCAGTTGACTGTCTTTATTGTTCTTAAAGGAGAAAGTGTAACCTTGTAGGGCTGCAGACTTTTGACATTGCCACAGACATTGTCACCTGCGAAGTTCAGACTGGAGAAGAGAGCACAGAAGAATTTCTTCACGTTTTCAGTAAGTTCAGGGCTTTGTGTCAGGTTGCATTCATGTCCATCCCAAGGAACATGTGGCCCGAGGACTGCAGGTTGGGCACATTTGCAGTGAACCCAATTTATTGAAAAAAGAAAAAAGACTCGGACAATGAGACTTACAACGACCTTACTTGTAATGGTAAAAAACTGAAAATAACCCTGTTTTATGTCAGAGGAATAAATGTATCCATTCTTTGAAAACTGTGCCTCCCCTAAATCAAATGAGATCAATCAATATTTCTTGATGTGAAAGCATGTTCAGCACACACTGTTAAATGAGGGCAGCCGTGTACTGTGAACAGTGTACTGTGTGCAGCATACTGTACACAATTTGATAGTTTGTGCACTTAGCAACACCCTTTACCATTATATGCATTCATTTCTGTATGTGTAAATACAAATCCATATAAATTTATATATTTTACACACACATGTACAAGTCACACACATATACACACCTATGAATGTGTATCCTTGAGGAAAGTATATACATTCTGGAATGAGAAGTGCTTGATGAGTAATATGGTTACTCAGAAGGGAACAGTATAGGATTGGGGAATAGGAAGAGATTTTTCCTACTTGTACTGTTTTAATTATCAGTGAGAATCTATTACTTGTCTAATTAAAAATATTACAGTGAGTTGTGATGAGGATTGTGGTTGAAACAAAAGGGACAGAAAATTACATCAGGACGTTTTTCTCTTCAAGTCTGCTGTTTTACTTGATTTCATTAGGGACGGAGGCTCAGAAATGGAGGTGGAAAAGGCCCTTGTCTGTCTCCTCTTGCACAGCGGGCATTCTGGAAGGACGTGGCATGTCTGGGGCGCATTGCAGAGCTTACGATAATGCTCATTCATGCTGAGGCACTGGCTTTTGCCCATAAAAGGAGGAATTACAACATCAGACCCAGATTGTTCCCATTTCCAAGCAGTCACAAAATGTCAACATAGACTGTCAATCACTTGTTCTCCATTCTCTCACAAACACTCCCTGGAAGTCAAGCTAGTCACAGAAAACAGATACAGGCACTGTTTTGACAACACTGGATACGCCTATGATTAGGAGTCAGGATAGCGTAAAAATGATTAATATGGTCCTGAAAGAACAGGGAGTGCACCTTCAGAAGGGATAATTGGATGGGCGTCCCTGCTGTGTTCACCTCCTACCCAGACACTGCCACAGGTTTCCTTCTCCCAAACAACCCCTGGCTGAGTGTTTGCCGTAACTTCTATTTGTCTGTTTGTGGCAGGGTCTTTCTCTATAGCCCAAGCAAGCTTAAAATGACAATCCTTGGTTTCCCAAGTACTAGAATTGCAGGTGTTTGACCCCACACCCAGCTTGCTGTGGCATCCCATTCCTTTCCACGTGCTGGAGTTCACACTTGGGACCTTGCGCTTGCTGGGCAAGCACTCCACCACGGAGATGCATCTCTAACATCCTCATGCCCTCCTTTTTGGAAACCAAATTTCAAGTAGCCCAGACTGATCTTGAGTGCATTAGGTAGACACAGATGTCCTTGAGGTCATGGTCATTGTGCTTCTCTGGAATGCTGGTTCAGGCCACCAGGAGGGGGGGTTATGTATTTAGTGCTGGCAGGGGGGGAGGGGGGAGAAGCCAAGGCTTCCTATGTGCTTGGCAAATGCTCTACTAATTGACATAACTTTTGGATTATGGTTAGGGAAGAGATGTAGCAGGTTCTTGGAACTTGGGCACAAAGGCCAAAGGATGTTAAAAGAAATGTGAAAATCTACTTCCACAATCAAATACATAATCCTTAAATTAGCAATAAAACCATCTCAGTAATGTTTTTTAAACCAACAGATGAACATTCTCTGTGTTTAGCAGCACTCCGAAGGATGCAGCCGCTAACTATGTACTTGCTAAGCTCTCAGTTTATGAAGCAAAAAGTCATCATTTCGCTCACCACACTTGAATTAAGGTGTCCTGGAGTAACACCAATTACACAACTGTCTAATTACCAAGCAGCTGTCTTTTTCTTGTAAATGTATTCTTACTCTCGAGCAGTCTCAGGACTAGGCCACACTGTCTTATCTCGTGAAAAAGGAACAAACTCCAGGACTGTGAATCAGAAGCTCTGGCTCATTTCCTGGGCCTCCCTGGATACGAGGGTCTGCCATCCTGGTTCTAGGAACATGGATTCCATGAGTGAGCTTCAAGCTGCAGGCAAGTCCTCCACTTTGAAACCTCAACTAAGGTGTCTCTACTTTGATCTGTGTGATACTGGACTTTCTGAAGAAAGGTTTCAAGAAAGAAAAGGAAAATTACCCAACAGTCTCTTTTTCAATCAATATCTACTGTGTTCCTAGTGTGCAAACTGTTTGTGGTCCAGAGGACCCAGCAGTGATGACATCTTCTGCCCTTGTGAACCTGGCAATCACCAAGACTCCATATCAGATCCAGCATCCTGCATCTCCAAGACACTTGGGACAGGTGTCCTGAGCAGGCTCAGAGAAGTTCTTGTCCATAGAGTGAATTGTCTGGTTGCAACTGCAACAGAACAGATTGACCACCAGAAAACTTCTGAGGGGTGTGTTTTATAAATGAATCTCAGAGTCATTGTTTTGACAGTGATCAGCTAAACCTAACACTGCATTTTGTGTTTGATTTTTTGTTTGCTTGTTTTGTGATGTTCTCATAGAATAGCAGAGGATAGACTGGGGATGTAGCTCAGTGGCACTGTTTGCCCCATGTATGTGAGGCCTTGGGTTTTATCTCGTTATGGCATAAAAGGAACAGAAAAAGACCTGAGATTGGGCAACTTGTGAAGAAAAGAGATGTGTTCCCTAGTGCTCTGAAATCTGGGAAATCCAATTCCAAGGTCAAGAAGTCCACATCTTGTGAGGGCCTTCCCCCTGTGTCATATAGTGGTGGGAGGCAGAAAGGAAGAGAGCATGCTCTGGAGGGAGGGAGGGAGGGAGGGAGAGAGAGAGAGAGAGAGAGAGAGAGAGAGAGAGAGAGAGAGAGAGAGAGAGAGAGAGAGAGAGAGAGAGAGAGGAGAGAGAGAGACAAGTTCTTCAGTAATTACCACTAAGCCATCCATGAAGGTGCCTTCATGAACCAGCTTTCTCCCACCCCTCCATAGCAACACTTTCACAGGGTTGCATTTCCAACATGTGCTTTGGGGAAAAGCATTCACAGCACAGCAGTGAAACCATTTGTATGTGGCTCATGCAGGGCTGCAGTTGGGATCAAAGCATAGGATGCACTCAAAGCCTTAGAGCTGTGTCTGGAGTGCTGCAGGCCGCGCTACATGGTATTAGCTATGATGATGTGCTCTTCCTACCTATGCCTGGACCTCCAAGGACCTCCTCAGTCACGGTCAGACAGACCCATGCCCTAGAGCAAGGTTCAACTAATGTTATGTGAATCTGCCCTAGCAGAGTAAATAAGTAAAAACGTATTTTTAGTTGGTGAACCCGCTCTAATGATGTTGAAGGCAGAGCTGGGTTTGTATAGACTTTACTTAGATCAATCGCTGCTTCAATGCATGCTTTTCCTGAGTTGTTTTCAGTGATAAAATAGCTCAAACACACAGACAGTAACCTAACAGATGCCCATGCCCCCACTACTGAAAGGACACCCTGCTGCCTCAATGTGTTGCCCAACTTGTTCCAAATAGTTGTGTAAGAGATGCAATAATTCA